TTGTTGGATAATTATTACTAGTCCATACCCATTGGTAGCTTTGTCACCTTCTTCCTATGCCAATCCTCAATGCCTATGTGCAGTTTCACATAGCTTGACCACGTCAGTGAGTAGAAAAACATGGGACAGACAGAATGACTGACTGACAGAATGACACACTGACAGTTTCCGCGATTTATGTACAGCATACCATACCATGACTTAGTAATACCAAAAATTAAAAAAAAAACAAAACACAACATTGGTCCACAGGGGGAGCCACAGCGATCGGTCGCATTTTAGCCATTTTTAAGCATTTTTCTGTTGTTATAGCGCCACCCAGCTGCCAATTAGAGTTGAATTTCTCCAGTCACCTTGAGGCGTCCTGTTCTACATATCTACCAAGTTTAGTTAAAATCGATGTGGCGGTTAGGCCTAGATAAGAAATTAGCTCTCTAGCGCCCCCATTTTGTTTGATGGGGTCAATAATGGAGGGGTCCCCTCAGATTATGTGTGGTCATATGCCTACAAAGTTGCGTGGTGATGGGTGAAACCCTTGAGATGTTATACACCTTTATGTGATGAGCCACGCCCTCCGCAATATTCATTGCCTTATAGAAGCTCAGTTTTAGTAAGTTTTCCAACTTTTGCCAAGAGGGAACTTTAGATATTGGTCCCTAGATTATGTTCACCCAGTTTCATGCAGATCGCTCAAACTTCCTAGGAAGGGATCGATTTTAAGGTTTTTTCAAAAAATTCAAAATGCCGAAAAATCTATATAACCGGAAGTTATGGGTTCTTGAGGCAAATGTGTTCCTCATGAGGAGAGGCATCTCTGTGCAAAGTTTCATGTCTCTACGACATACGGGGCATGAGATATGCCCATTCAAACTTTGCAATTTCAATTGGTTGCTATAGCGCCCCCCTTTGGCCAACTGATGTAATATTGCTTCATTCGCATCCTCCCATGACCCTCTACCACTGTGCCAAATTTCACATGGATTGACCAAGTCAGTGAGGAGAAAAACGTGGAATAGACACACCCACACCCACAGACAGACAGAGTTTTCGTCATCATATAGTAAGATTGCTTAAAAATGTAAAAATGTAGAATATTTAAAAATATTTTACTACATGTTCATGTTCCCTAGTTCTTGTTTTAATTAAACATGTTTAAATAGTTTCAATGGGTTGCTTCTTTTTTTTTTTTTTAACATTGTGCCAGCCAACCTCATGATGGGGCTAGTTGGCACAAACACACAACATGACTTTAATCATGAGTAACCTAATTTTAGAAAACATTTGCACACATCAAAACATATACATATATAGCTAAGACCTTTACATTTAATTTGCTGCTGATTAGATTATTCTAACATAAATTATGCCAGAGAAATATGGCAGACAGTGAAAAGTGTGCCAGCCAACCCTGGTCTTCCCTACATGAGCTTTTGGACAGGGGTAGATAAGTCCAAACAGAACTTACAGAGTCCATGGATAAACAGGAACAGGGGCCAGAAAAACATGCAGGCCAATAGAGATTCCGATTAGGTTCAGGTACAGACACTGGTTACAGGGTTGCAGGCTTCAGGTTTACAGATACATGTAGCTTGAAAGCAAGGCATGAGGCAAAAGGGTCTGGTATATGTACTGCAAGGCTGATGAGGGAAAGTGGAAACAGGTGAGAGTTCAGGTGAATGCAGGGCAGGAGGAAGTGGCTGGGTGTGAGAGTCAGGTGACTGGGAGAGGTGGAAAAGTGCGAGGGCATCTGGTGGATGGAAGGAGAATAGCAATGATGGCAAGGAAAGGCATGGGAGAAGACAGAGGTGACTTGAGGGACAGAGCAATGAGCAAATACAGAGTATGGATGGATTACCGAACAGGCCTGTGTCATCTGTCATGGCCCGCCCCTTGGCCTTCACTTGCAAAATGTCACTCAAATTGACATGTACCAACCAGGAGGGGACTCAAAATGAACACAAAGAGACACATAAGGGCCACAGAGAGATGCACAGGGACTGCAAAGAGACACAAAACGGGGGAAAAAAAAAAAAACACAAAGAGGCAGAAAATGACCAAAAAAGACACAAATTACCTCAAAGAGACACAAAAGGGCTACAAAGAGAGGCAAAATCACCATGGACACAAAACCACAAAGAGATGCATAATGACACGCAAAACAAACAAAAACAGGAGAAAAATCTGTGTCTTGTCCCTGTGTAGGACAGATGGTGTGACCTTTTGCATATCTGTGCCTAGTGGCCCATGGTCACATAATCCATCCATGACACTAAGGCAAAGGCTGCTAGGCCTCTCTTATAGAGATGGAGCCACAGGCAGGTGAGGTAGTAAGATACTGTAGATATGCATACACCATTTAAAGTTTGGGCAAACTTCCAACACAAGAAAAGCAGGAACTTTTCTATTATGTGACTGTCTTACCAGCATGCTGCTGACACCATACAATAATACAATCTATTAGACACAAGTGTCACATACACAGTTCATACTTAACTTCAAGACAACAAGTTTGGCACCCAAATGGGGACTCGAGTTGCTTATAGCAAAGCCATGGCATGTTTAATCATTAACAACCTGTCACAGCCATGAGCCAGATCCTGTGTACTTTGGCCTTAAACATAAACAGCCTCTTTAGAGATAAGTGTTCAGCAATAAAGGTTTGATTTCTTCTCTGACTGAACATTTGTAATTCAAATAATATTGTCATTCACAGTCACAATAAACTGTGAGGTGTAAAGGGTACAAGGAAAGTGTGTGTGAGTGTTCAAATATTGTTTCTGACCATTAATGTAAGTGCAGGTGGAAAAAAATATCTAAACATTTATAATCTGAATTAACATCTCTCTGATACACAAAAAAAATGGACATTATGGGCTCTATTTAAGCATACCATTGGGAGAAGAAGCATGTGGAGGGTTTGCTGATCCTGAAGTGCACTGCAATCTTAGTGCCAAGGACAGACACATATTGTGCGATCTGCCCAGAGCAGGTCGACAACTCCGCACACCTGTGTCCTGTCATATTTCTATCACTTTAAATTGGTAAAGTGACACATAAACCTTTCTAAAGTCACACAAACCCCTGCCTGGTTTCAACTTTCTTCAACCAACCAATGACTTGAGGCATGTCCAGAGAGCAGCTTGCACTACTCTGTGCCTCACTTGAGCCAGCCTGATTATTCTGATTATGGCACAAATGCCAGCGAGACAGAATAAAGATTAATGAGTGATTCTCAGCATCTGTTATCCACCACAGCTAGCAGTCTATACTGACAGCCTTTCATTTGACTTGATGACTCTCTTTACAGCCATCTGAAGGCTGCAGGTATCTGTTCCATCTACAGTCTGTAATTGGAGTGATGGTGTCACTGTCAAGCCACCATTACTCACAGCAGATCTGTTTGTTGGACAACCAGCACAAGACTGTTGTAAAGAATCTCTGTGCATATTTAAATGACTGACTAGCATGATGCGAGAAAAATTGTTTGGTTATGGTGGAGTTTACATAAACAAGAGACTGTAAGCCTGGACTGGAGTCTATCCCAGCTGTCATTGGTTGAGAGGCGGATGTTGAACTGACCATTCCCCAGCCTGGGAGGAGAGCGGCTGCAGGGACAGTCCCCTCATGCTGCATCTGAACTCTGTAAAGGCAGCAACACACAGTTTGAGTTGGATAAGCAAGGATGTTAGCTAAGCAGTCCTTCAGTGTGACCATATGCAGCTCCGAACACCTCTGAATCTGGTCTGAGCAGTCAGATGTCAAGATACATTGAGAACGCATTCAGTGCATTCATACCTGTACTTAGTGATCTGATCACCTTGGATGCATGTTAACAGGGCTGCCAACTTTTCAAAAAACCTTGGAGTGAGATTCAGTGGGGCCGACCACAGTTTTGTCGTTTAGGCCTACGCATTAATACATTAGAGAGAGAGTGGGGGAATGACTTGCAATAAATGGTTGCAAGCCGGAGTCGAACTCGTGAGTGCTGCAGTGAGTCTGTATATGGGGCACCGGCACTATCCACTACGACGCCCCTGAATATAGAGATTAAAAGCTAAGGACTAACTTCTTCACAATGCACATGCCAACATACCTGGAGGTGAGAAATGCAAGACTTGAAATATTTCTTCTTCCTCTTCGTTCTATTAGGAGGGCATCATTCGTCATTGAAGGTGCTAGTAGCCTAGTTATTTAAGGTGGCGCCACCTACCCTACAAGAGTGGAACGACTACCAGCACTTTCTTTTTTTTTTCCCGAGTGAGAAATTGGAGGTGTGGCGTGAGACCATGTGAAATCAACCAATTGCATGACTCTCACGGCGAATGCGTGAGAATTGGCAGCTATGACAGGTGTAAACAGGGCCTCTTTTACATAACATATGCTTTAGGAATGATTTGATTTGGAAGTGCTTAAAAAATGTATATGCATTTCAGCTGAATATGTGAAGTGCAAATATTCTATTTCCTCACCTTGAGAAAAAAATGACGGAGCATCATTCTGGTGTGCTGTGGACGCACTGCAACCCTGAATACACCCATAACACAGAAGCTGCGGGTTTACAAGGGGTAACCCCAGACTGTTATTATTCAGGGAGATGATTGAAAAGCTGATACACAATGCAGAAAAAAAAATCAGAAATTCTCAACAGGAGGTCTTCAACTTTATTAACAGGCAGTATAAGATGGTAGATAATTCAGCTATACAAGTTAATCAGTAGCTTTAGCACTAGAGCTGTTACAGTGAGGTTATTTCATGTCAAGGGTGATTGAAGTCGTCTGTTCTGAGTGTTAATATATATATGGTAATGTTATATTTATTTACACTCATCTTGAAAGTTTTAACATTGCAAAACAAAACCCGAACCCCAAAAAAGAAAAATACATAACACAGAGTTATTGATAATGCTTGATAATGAAGAATCTCCATTATGGAATCTCATTTTCCAAGATCTTAATTGTCAAACTAAAGTTTACATAGACAGTCAAAATCAGAACATGTTTTCAGAATCTGAGTCTGTACTGAAACTGGATGTCTTTTACGGGATGAAGCGCTCCAAAGCCCGCTCGATGGAAGTCAGTATCAGGTATTTTTTCACGAGAATTCTTCAGCTCAAACTCAAAGTAGACCAACATGAGGAAAATAAACTGTTTCAGCTCATTGATGGCAAAGAACCTCCCAGGACACATGGAGACCCCAGCACCAAAAGGCATGTTATAATACGGCACCTTCTTCCCTGCTTTGTAGAAATCAGTTTTCTTGCTCCCATCTGGATTCAGAAAGCGGTCATATTTGAATGAATGTGGGTCAGGATGGATCTCTGGGTCAGTCTGGACAGTAATCCAAGGAATGACTGCACATCTGTCACCCTTGCGAATATGGTATTTGCAACCATCAGCCATGTTGTAAGTCATATCATGGCCCACTACTCTGGAGAGGAGAGGCATAGATGTGAGTCGCAAGGTCTCCTCTACAGCGCTATCCAGGATTGGTGTTTTCATCAGCATATCACAAGTCACATTGATCAAAGGGCCACCACATAGCACTTCCTGGCCAGACTCCTTCAGAACCTTCTCTGCCTCCCCCCTCACAGCCGTCATGGCTTCAGGGTGTTTCATGAGGAAGAGGAGCAGCCAGAATGCAGAAGGCCCTGTGTTGCCTTGGGAAACAAAAAGAAGCACAAGCATGTACCTGTCTATCATTGACTCCTTTATACCCAACTCCTGTCTGGCCAGCTGCATGTCCCACAGCCAGCGACTGATGTTGTCCTTGTTCCTTATCTTCTGCATTGACAGAGCGTTCCAGAAGAATGCCTTTACCCTCTCTGCATCCTTCCTCTCCGTCAGGGGCACGACACCAAAAGCCAGATCAGGGAGGAAGTCAACAAATTTACAGAACTCAATAAATAAGGCTTCTGATTCAGTTTTGTCTTTCTCTTTGGCTTTGTCTACACTTCCTTCAGACTCGTGTGACGCATTGCCAAAAAGAGATAAGTAACCAGCCCTAAAAATAATATTGTAGCTGTATTTAAACAGACTGTCTTCTATCCAGGTCTTCCGAACTGCAGAGGAGTCAGTGTTCTGCAACATAATGTTCTGCAAATTACACATCATGGACTGTGTCAACACCTCCAGCCCAGGCCCCCTCAGGTGCTTGTAGCTTGTCACCATGAGAGTCTGGTGCTCATTCCCGAAAGATTTGTAACCAAAGATTCGGTGCAAAAGCTGCCTGGCAAACTTGTTGAAGTTCAGTTTTTCTCGATCTTCCTTAACAAAGGCCACCAGTGAGAGAGAATCCATAATAAATGTAATGTAATTGCCTCCCAGCTGTACCGTGAATACATCTCCATGCTTTTTCTTCATCTTCTTTAGGAACTTAACTGTGTCCTTGCGAAACTCTAAGGCATGACCCAGCCATGGGACAAGCCCCTTGTCCAAAGGAGGTTCTCCTGGTCGCTGCTGTCGAAACACCCCCAGCAGGTACAGGCCTCCAATTGAGAAGGCAAGAAAACCAAGAAGGATTGGTAGCAGCATAGTAATGATTAATTCCTCTAATCAGCTACAGAGGGATCTGTGATTAAGGTCCACATCCTTCATTATATATACACTCTTTTTCTCCGACCTTTGCTCATGTTTTTGCTCATGTGCGTTTAACCTACAAACATTAAACATTAACATGAATAACCCAGCACTTTTGGTTCCAGAGGTACTATATCGAAAGTGTTTGGTGGAAATGGGGCTCAACAAAACAGATACTTGGGAACCATCCTGGATGATATGCTAACCTTTGATGCCAACACCATTTTTATAATAAAAAATTAAACCAAAGACTGTTTTTCTTAAGGAGGTTCAGAAGATAATGTTGACAAGTCTCTTTCTAATGTGTGCTCTACTTCTTTTATTGGGTTATTTTTAACATGCACTATGATCTGCTGGTTTGGTAATCTCAGTGTGAAAAACAAAATCCAGTTTGTGAAAAATGTTAATGTGTGCCGTGAAGTGACTGGTGTAAATTTATCTTTGCCAGTTGTACCAAGTCAGAGCCACACAGAAAGCTCAGGTAATCTTATTGGATGTCCAGCAACCTCTACATGGTGACTTTTATTTCATCAGCTGTTGACTTTTTAAGCAAAATGGGATTAGGCGTGTGTCTCTCTCTTTTCCGTTGTTTCGTAACAAAATACTACAACAACAGTGGCACAAACCTGTGTATGTCTATGTGTTTATGTAGGTCTATATTGTATCTATTGTATGGATTACATTTTATTTATTGTTGTACTTAATATTCACCTCTATTGCCGGCTGTTTGTGAGAGAGATTGTCTCTAGAGGACATAAAAGCTTTAAAGCTTTTCTCTAAAAATAGACTTGCAGGGAGAGTAAAAAAAAAAAAAAAAAAAAATCTAAAGGTCTATAGAAGCTCTGTGAGACTGTATGTAGGCAGTGTGATGAGTTAATATAAATACTGACCAGTTAAAATCAATTAAACTATTTGTGTAGCAAATAATCTTTACAGATTATTCACAAGCTGATACTAAGGGCTCACATACAAGCAGTAAAACGAAGACTAGTGCACACAAGAAATTAAGTAAATTACACTTTCCTCATACAAACTGCATTCCAGTGAACTTTAATGGTTTATGCCCTCGGCGCACTACTGAAAACAGTGCCCCATTTTCTATTAATTGAATAAAGGAATCAGTTTTGAATTCTGAAATTGAACTGAGAGATTCCCAAAGATTCCAACCTCTAGCACAAAGCAGCCACCTCCCCAAATATATTTCCTGACTTTGTCTCAAGCACCTTGAAAAAACAGGCCAAGTGTGTTCACATTCTGATCGAATCTGGATGCTCATTTCATCCAAACTATTCCCAAGATATGGTCCTGTATATCAGAGAGAGGGGGAGACCAAAGGTGATGGATTATGCCATTATCCACAAACAGGTTTCTGCACCAGAATTTGTCATATACCTGACCTTGGCTGTTGAAATGAATAGTACCCTCAACTTGCCATGTCACCAAAACTTTTTTTACCCCCTATATCTCCTACTCTATTTCCCTATTGTCCTGTCCAAACAGAAAACCCCTCACAGGAATCCTGCATAGTTAGACCTGAGTTTTAGCTGAATAAATCACTATGTACTTAGCACTGGATGCGGTACAGAATATTGCAATGACACCCAATGGGATCGAGATAATGGAATTGTTATTGAATAAAAGAAAATTGGCATGCAGAAAACCACTCTTCCAAACTTTTAAATGGCTCCTGTTTTGAATCGATTCCTGAGGGACAAAATTTGTTTACACTCATATCTTTCCTGGTTGGAAAAAAAAGAATAAACAAGCAGCTGTCATTTTAAGGAAAAAAAATCTACACCATACAGTAGAAGTGCATTATGTTAATGCTTTATATTCATCACACACTCCAGAGACGAAAGACTGAGACACTGCCCTTTTACATAGCAGCCTAATTTTAGCCAGGGCAGCTATAACTACTTAGATTCCCTTTCTGAAGGGCTAATCAGGGTTAAACTGTTGCAGGGATGTGATCATGTTCAGGCAGAAAGAGAACAGATAAGGATGCTCAAGGACAGTTGTTTTGAAAGGCACTATTTGAAGTTATTGATTCCCCCCCTTCCCTTGTGTTAGCACTCATTTGAATGACCTTGCTGTGCTGTTCATATCAACAACCAAGGAGCGTACCACAGTGTACCCATCATCAGCTTACAGATGATCCCACGTATTTTAATTACTACGTGTTCGACGTTAAACAGGAGCAAGGAAACATTTTTTTCTATCCCTTAATCTGTTTTTTTTTTTTAATTTTCCTGTCTGCCTTCCCTTTATCATCCCTTCCTCCTGACTTTATCTAATTCCTTGACCTTTCCTCACCTCCATTTCTTATTCTTCACACACTGTCTGTGGATATCTCTTTCAGCTTGCAATCACTATGCCATAGTGGGGAGAGAAGGTGGTGTCTTCGTAATAAATTACAGCGTAGGGCATTTCATGGGAGCATTAGTCTAAAATGCCTTGCAGTACCAGGGCAAAATCCATATTTCTGGCATGGTTGTCTCCAGTGGAAAATGGACCGCAAAGCCTTCCGTGCCACATTCTCTCCATTCAGCTACATTTGTCATGCACAGTGCAGCAGGTAATGTAGTCTTTCAAGGCTAGACATATCAGCGTGTGTATTTATATGTAGGCTACATCTGGAGTCAACCAGGGTAGGATTTAGCTCAAATAGGGGTGAGAACAATGAAAGTGAAATCTGAAATTATTCATCAATGCAACACCTGAAAGTGGTGTTCAAAACAAGAATGGAGCAAATTTATCCACAGCTATAGCTCACATTAAAGCAATATTAAGTGCCCATATGTCAATTTGAAACTGAAATCCCCTCCTAATGCACACATGATTTGAGGCTTTGACTTTTTGAGTGTAGTATCTGTCATACAAATCCAGTGGTTATCTTCTTACGTTACGGTCTTTTCTCATACAAATGTTGTCGTTTAATATGTGTCGCTGTCTCTCTATGTAATGCCTCAGTGAATCCAGGTTAAGCGGGTAAACATAACAGATAAAACGTAAAAACAGACATGGATCAGGAAACCAGCCACAGGCAGAAGATCATGCAGGCAGGTAACAGGCAGATGAAGTGGTAAAACACTTAATGGACGACACAAGACAAGAACAGGTGGAGAAGGGCTAGTATATATAATGCAAGGGTAATGGGAGACGTGGGAACAGATGAGCAGGTGGATGGGGCAGTCAGGTGATGCGGAACGGTAAAACAGGGAAACAGGGGCTATTGCAGGTCAGGAGGGAGTGACAGGGTCTGACGGGAGAGTTGATATGCAGTTAAATTAACAGGCTGAGAGGGGAAAATGGCAAGAGGCTAATAGCGACACTTCACAACTCAGCAAAGAAATACAGTCTGTGGAAAGACAAAGAGGATATTTTGTAAGAATGCACTATAATTTTAGGAGATACTTGATTTGACTGCTGAAGCTCATGCTCCTTGATCCTTACCTTCAGACTGCAGGCAAATCAGACTTGCTACTCAAATCAGATCTTAAAGTCATACTGTCTGCACTGTTATTTGCAAGTGATCAGAGCATCGTTGTGTGTCCAGACAGCAACAACCTATCTGCATGGGTTGCTGCGGTAACGTTATGGCGTAAGCAACTAGGCTTAGGCTTTGTGTATGTTTTTCTACAAAAAGTTATGCACCAAAATTCGTACATATCCCTTGTAATCATGAGCCAGTAATTCATGCACAACCCATGTATTTTGGAAGGCTGGGCTTGCAGGACCAATGCCGTGATGGGGTAAAGAAGGAGCGGTCCCTGTGTGGAGGTAGGTTGGGGTGGTGGATGGGTCACAAAAAACAGGACTTTCACCCAAGACAGGTGTTTACAATGGGTTTACAACACATCCTCACCATGTTTCTTTTCTTAAACCTAACCCTTTTAACTTTATGTTAAGAGTGTAACATCATTCGTTGGGCTCTAATTTGTGAGATGTCAGAGGAACTGCTGTACGAGGGTACGTTGAGTAGCTACATAGCTCCATTTTGCAAGCATGAGAATTGGAGGCAAACAACAACAACTGTTCTAGCACAGAAAAAATGGATGAAAAATCACAGAGAACATTCAGTGTCAGATTTATCATTATGGATTTATTTCACAAAGCCTCCAAAAGAGGCTGCAGCTCATAGCTGGATTGCAAAACTTCTGAAAGGAATCTGATCACACCATGGCCCTCGTTGGAGCTGCATGAAGGTTAACGTTAGCTTCTGGGCAAAAATAATTTTCTTTCGAGCAGCATTCCAGAGATATTTATTAATGCTATGTTGCATACGACATTATCAACCCCAGGAATAACCTTTATAGTGTCTGGTATGTCAGATTTTTCTCATCAGTCCTATTAAAGGGTTGGTGGTGAGACCAAAGGGGCAAGACTAGGACACACCGGAGGCAATCACTGCTCGTCAAAAAATATGCCCCTGTTATTTTCAGTGTGCAACCCCTCACTGGTGGTGGCTACACGTGTCATGGACGCACTGCCCTGCATCCAGCCTCGCCAGCCCCGGAATTAAATGCACTTTCCTCCCCACTCACTCTCTACTTGTACATACCAACTCCCATAGCAGCTCTTTTTCTCTGCTCCTATGGCAGCTTGACTCCTCTCCTCACCACTGAAGTATAACGAGAACTTGGCAGCTGTTGCTGTGTCTCATGTGTGACAAAGACGAGATGAAGACACGCTCATTGTTGATGTCGAGATCCTGAGCTAACCGACCCACAATGCAGTCGTTATAAAGACAACAGCCAAAAAGATTTTGCCTGGCGAGTCATAGCTGTGGAAATGGGCAGTTTAGGTGAGAAATAAAGTTTAATTAGGGGCTGTCCACACATGATTTTAAGCTAACGCATAGGTGGAGGAAGGACAGATTTCTTGGTAAAAGTAGTAATAACTTTGCGTGGTTGTCTGTTGACGAGCTGCAGCGCGACATGTCCAGTGTGTGGTAGGGGTGGCACTTGATGTG